ACACACACACACACACACACACACACACACACACACACACACACACACACACAGTTAGAATCTGTATTTATTAAACACTTCATTTAGGTTGAATTTAAGGAGCAGGCTTGAGTCCGTGAGCTTCGTTCTTTGGTCGTTTGCACTCCTGACTCACAGCGAGAAGGTTCAAAGCTCTTTACTGTATTTTTCATTTGATTTATTCAGATAACAGCGACGGTACCAGCACATGGATACTGTGAGTAACATGCAATCGATTGAACATAAAGACTTTTAGCCAGAGCTTGGTTCAAACATGGACGATGGATGGATGCACTGAGCCTCTCTCATGCTTTATATCAGCATTTATTTGTTTTTGTAAAAGCTGCACAGTCCTCTGATGATTTAATTCATGCTGAAAATGTTAAAAGCAGCTTTGTGTGTGCGAGCAGACGTCAGACTCATCGGTTAAAGCACAGCTGACAGCGGCAGCAGCAGATAAGGCCGTGCCTTTAGATAAACTCGTATAAGTGCATTAAATCCTCCCCCTCGCTGTTGTTGCTGCGCTCCCCTGGTGCCAGAAAAAGGAGCTACTGAGATTATGAATGAGGAAACGTGGAGTGAGAACAGGCTGTGAAAATACAGAGTGTTTGTTCAGACTTTTGTCAGGTCTCGTTCTGCTTCGGCCTCCCCGTTACCCCCCCAGCCCTCGCACCCATCCTCCCCTTTTTTAGCTTTAACTCATCTGCACGACTCCAAAAATCACAATTCCTGCATCCTTCTCTCTGTAAGTGTTTGAGGAAACTTGAGCGCAGCGTGTACTCAAGTCTTAGAACCTCACTGGCTGTGCAGGCGCACGATCAGCTGATACAGATGTCATTTCAGCTTTATGTCACTGCTGCGCCGCCCATTTGACCTTTTTATCGCCCTTCTTATGATAGAAATTCATGACAGAACTGCTTCATGGTCATTAAAAAAAAGAAATGAGTTAATGTTTATTTTAGCAACGATCTGCAGAACCGAGGTTCAAAAATCACTTTCAATCATAGCACGGTTCACTGGAGGTGCCAACTTACTCCTGGAGCAGTGCGAATGCAGGAGTTGTCATTTTCCACTTCATTTATATCTGTGAAAAAAGGCTCGTGAACGTGTTCTTGATTTAAATCCACGAGATTGTGTCATTGTTTTTTATCCTGAAGGCCATCAGAGGGACAGCAGAGCATGTTTTTACTGTACGGCAGAGGCTGTCAAAGCTCCAGAAGAAGTTCGGTTCTCACGCTGCAAAATTTTAACGGCTAAAACTCCAGTTTACCGGCATCAGCACCGTGCACAGGTCGATCTTCCTGCTCCCCCGGCATGACCAATCACATATGAGAGGTCACACGAAGGTGGTCGTCAGCTCGATAAGTCAGCACGGGGTTTATCAAACTAGGGGGCGGCTGTGCACACAGAGTCATCTACTAATTGGAAGGTCGGTGGTTCAATCCCTGGTTCTTCCAGTTTGCACGTTGCATGTTATCTTTGGACAAGACTCTGAAGCCCCAGTTGTCCCTCATGCATCCATCAGAGCATGTGCACATGTGTTAGACAAGATGCTTGTGGGTGAATGCGGCTTCAGTTACCATGGCGATGTATCCCAGGAAGATGTGTGTGCATTAAACTTTTATTTTATATTTTGAACTGGTTACCAACGGCCCACCTGCACTGGCTCTGTGGCCCGGTGGTCTGCAGGGGTGCATGCGAGTCATGCCAGCTTGTTTTTCACAGAGATATCTGGCTCTCGAGGTGCGAGTGTGTACGCTGAAATGTCCCTGTGGTCTGCTTTCTGTCACACAAAGAGCCGTAAAGACTTTACACCATCAGAGTAAACTGGGTGCCTGACGTCTTTGCCTGCTCTGATTCTTATGAAGCTACAGTAGTGTTGAAAAGTTGACAATGTTTGCACAATTATCTGTTTTAAATGAAAAAAAATCACGTTGTTGTTGAAATGTGCCACATGGATGAACTTCATCTATTATTTTTGAGCAACAGCCAACATAAGCAGGGCTGAACGCAGTAAGAGTAAATCCTACAGCGTGTTCACACTCGGGTGACTCGGGCTGATAAACGTCCTCCCTCTCCGTCCTCGTTACCTCCGGCTCATGGCGAAGTATCTGGAGCAGGTCTGTCCATCCCAGGAACAGTAGGGGTCTCTGGCCAGGCAGCACTCGGCACAGCCGGTCCCGTATAACTCGCACCTCTGGAGCCCCAGCTGGGCCACGCCGAGCTCGCTGGACACGTACAGCTGTTGCTGTGGAGCAGAGGGGGAGGAAGAGGAGAGCATTTCTGTAGGCTGGCCGTGCATCCTCATGGCTCATATCTGTTGCACAACTCTAAAAAAGTTGCTCAACATCCTGTTTCACCCATAATCTTCATATAAGTTCACGCTTCTCTCAGTTTTGTATTTTAAATGAAAGATTTCGGGGACTCGTGTCACCGAAATCTATAAAGATGTAAAGATGCTACAGAGAAGAATGATTTATTCAAAGCTGATTTTGCTGCAGAAAAGTCAACATCTAATATTTAGATCAAATTTAAATACTTTAGATATCTTAGTCTGAATCGTCTGGACAGATGGAAAAACACACATTTCCTGTTTGACCAGGACCATCACTGTGACATGAACCAAATAATGACTTATTTAATTTAAGAAAGCTCCAGAAATACATAAGTAATCCAAGTCCGATGCTTCAGAGAGAAACAGAGAGACTTACTCGCTTGGTGGAAAGCTCCATGCTGAGGATGGGAGTGGGACTCTGTGGGATCAAGAGGAGAAGCATAAATATAAGAAGTTACAGATAACGCGCGATGACAGACGGCGGCGTTCATCGATGCAGCGTGATAGGTGAGAATTATTAACGAGACGAGGAATAATTTAGGATTTAGGAGTAACTGCAGTGCCGGCTTCATCGGGCTCGAGTTGCACAATTCAGAAAAATTCTTATTGGTGAATAAATGTGGGAGAAAGCGAAGACGAGCAGCGTTTAACAGCTGGAGCAGCTGGCAGCAGATAAACTTTTAAATGAGATTATTAGTCAGTAAATCAGTGGACGATTAAAACTGGCCAACATGATATGTAAACAACACGGTTCACTTATTTATTTTTATTACGTACATATTTAAACAGCGTTTATATATCGATGTTACAGTGGACAGATACTCATGTGAGCATAGTTTTGAGGATTCTTTGACTCTATGCGCACGTTTAATGGCAGTACTTGTATCTTGTAACCTTTATATGTGTTTCACAGCTTATTTAATATCATTTGTACCCGAGCAGCGACTGCAGGTCCAGCTAAATTTGTCAGCATCTGGAAATGAAGCCCAGACTCCCCGATGCTCAAACCAAACCTACTTAAGTGACGGACTTGAACAAATGAACTTAGTTACTCCCTGTCAAAAACGACCCAGTTTATATAAAAAAGAACAAACACGTTCTTATTTGCAGACGAACCCGCAGGAACGGAGGAGGAAAGGTCGACTCGCACGGCTGACTCCAAACCACAGACGCTGCTCCTTAAAAGCAGCAATAATTCAGCTGTTTGAGGTTGAGGAATGCCTCGCAGCGACTCACGGCTGAGGTCAGGGCAACTACTGAGATTAGAAATCTAATAAGTCTCTTTCTTCTTCGGGGGGTAAAATTACCCCCCAGCTCCATTTTTCTGGCTCACTGACTGGGTAAAGCGTTTCACAAAGGGAGTCGACGACCCCTGACCGCGCTGAGCCGAGGAGTCGAAGTGAAGGAGGGACAAAGTGTTTTACAGTGATACGACTATCCTGCGTTCTGTCACAGCCAGAAACTGAACAAGCTCGGTCAGCCCGACCCCCCGCAGCCCCCCGCAGACTTCAGCCCATAGAAATAAAAGCTCTCGTTTCGTACGCTGCCCACAGCTGTCCGGCTGTTTTGTGAGTCTGCTGGAAATGGGTTTGTTCCTGTCTTAATTTCAGCTGGAAGTAAACAGGCCGAGTGTGTGTGGCATCCTGTTTGTTGGTGGCTTCTCTTCCTTCACCTGCCCTCAGCTCCAGCACCGGCTGGGTTTCATTTCTCCGTTTAACTTTCTGCTTCCTTCCCTCTCTCCCGTCTTTTTATCCCCCTCCTCTGCATCCTTCACTCTATTTCTGTCCTCTGTGTTTTTTTTCCACATTTAGTCCAGCTGTATTTTTTCCTTTCACCCTGATGCATCCATCCCTCCTCACGTCCCTCACTTCTCTCTTTTTGCCGTCCCCATTAGCTTATTTACCCAGATGACCTTGGGAAATATGTGCCCTGCTATCTGTTTTTGTGTTTAGTGGAGTTTTTCCAGAAAACGATGTTCGATCACACGGTCCGGGCCTGGCAGATGGACAGTGGGAGTCACGGAAACAAGCCCTGTGGTTTTAGCCATAAAAGTCCCGTGTAGTTCGCCTCTGAGCTCGAGCCTTAAAGGTTCTGTGGGAGACTCGTTTGAAATCAGGTGGTGCCGGCAGTGAGGCGTGCAGAGAGAGCTTCAAAGACAGCTGCAGCAGGACAGACGGCTCAGTTTCTGGGTGCTCGCACGCTTGAGCGACTGGACCAGTTTATCAAAAGGTGCTGTTAAAGGAGACTTGGGTTTGGCCTGGCAGTATAAAACATGGGCATAAACACCATGATGTCACCTGCTGGTTTGTGAAATCCAGTTGTGAAATCTTCAGATTAGCATCTGGTGTTTGAGCGAGACACAGACCTGACTGTGAAACTGATTTTGTGAAGTCCTGAGTGAAGAATCGGCCCCGTCTGAAACTCTGAATGACCAAAATTTACAAAGTGAACTTCATGATTTATTCAGTTTGACCTGAAAGAAACAACCGAGCCCACAAACTCATCAGGGAAGTGTTTACAGAGGCCCGGCAACAGACGTGTACGGGAAGGAAGCGTTTCTGCAACCACAGGAGGCACATCAGCTGTTCAGACCCAGCAACTACATCCATCCTTTTATTTTGACTGTTTTTCTCTGATGGAGAAACTGAGGGCTGTTAGTCACAAAGTAAACCTGCTTTGTCATCAGGACAGCGTTAATCACACAGAGCTATGTGGATATAACAGGTTGGAAAGCATTAACACCACCTTAGTGCTCTCCATCGCTCACAAACCTGTAATAACATCTCACCTGGAAGACTGTCAGCTCCTCCAGTATGACCTCCTCTGTGACCCAGTTGTCTTTAATGACAGACACCGCCTTCACCACCTTCCCATCATCTGCAACATAAAGAGGATTTTTGACCGACGTGCGGGAATCCTGCAGCAAAACACACGTTTTCATTTCAGCTTTGAAACCAAACTCTGCCCCAATAAAACATCTGCAAAGACGGTCTTAGATTTATGCCGGCGTGATGAAACAGTAAGAATGCATCAGCCCCTCTTTAGAGAAACTGCAGCAGGAAAAAGTTTGTACGTTTTATCTTTCCCGAAGCAGAGCCAGGAGTTCTGTTTCACAACGGCCTCCCAGGAAAGCCCCTTCGGGAGATGACGCGTCTGAAAAACAAAGCTACACGACCAAAGCTCGTTCCCACGTTGGCACGGGACACAGCGGTAACCCTGGTAACAACGCTAAACAGGCACCTCGCGCACAATCTATGGCAGTTTGTTGTTACACGTGCCAGCTGTGACGGTGAAACCACACACTGCACTTAGGATGGACAGCAAAACCATATGGAAACACACACAAACACACACAAATCAACTGCTGAAGACGCAGACGGGCGCGCATTTGTACGCTTGCATGTTCAGGCATTCAAACACGCTCGCTCGCATCACGCCAGCATGCTCATAAAGCTCCGCTGTGGGAAACCGTGTGTGTTTGCAGCTGTTTGTGAGGCTACTGCATGCTGTGTGTGTGTCTGCAGACATGTCTGTCAAACAAGTGTGCCCTCATCACTGAGTAATGATGCGCTTCGATGCCTGTGGTCACCACGTTTCATTTCACAGTAAAAAATGTAATCTGGTAGCTTTGTGATTATACTGATCCCTGCTTTTTGTTTTCCTAGACTCTAAACACCGAGACCTGGAGCACAGCACAACCTGGAGATGAAACAAATCCAACAAGCTTCTATAAAATAATGTATGTGTTTCCCACTGGGTCCTTTATTTGCTTCAAACTGAACCAGAGTCAAACATAAAGGAAGCACGACAGGCAGAGCGAGGACAGCCGCTAGTTTTTGTTTTTTTACTCATTTATTGTCACAAACATCCAGGACAGCGAAAAGTCAAATCTCAGTTTCAGAGAGAATCATGGATTTCTTAACCTTTACTAAAACAGATGGACTCGTTCTCAGAGGCACGTTTCTGTTAATCAGTGATGAAATAGCACTAACAAACTTTAAACTTCCACAGTTGCTTTGGAGCCTCACAGAGCAGCACAAAGGTGTTCGCTTTGAACTGAAACCAGCAGGTCACTTTTGACCTTTGGGGTTTATATTTAAGACCTCCATTAAGTCAGGTGAGGTCAGGGTTCATCGCTCCGGGAGACCCACATACATGAATCTGATCCCCTGCATACCAAACCCGGGCACAGACATCTCCACCTTTCATTTGTTATCGTTCAGACGATAGGGAGAATGTGCAGGTGTCCGCGGCGTCATCGTGTCAGCCTCGGTGTTTATCAGAATACAGGAGCAGACGGATAAGAGCGCTGATAGTCCGTCTGAGTGATAGATGGTATGAACATAATAAAGCCATGCCACGAAGCTCCCGGTGCACAGCTTTTGTGCTGATGTTAATTCAGAGGATGTCTGGAGTGGTGACTTTTAAGCACTATGTGACCTTGGTGACCTCGCTCTGCCATCGTGGACGAGTTACGACGCTTTTTAAATGCTTCCATTCTCCAATAACACCACCTCCAGCTGATTGTGGAATATCTGCACACTGTCTCGTTGTAACAGTGGGGTCCTATCACAGTACAGTTTAAACCTTTTCTAAACCCATGCACTATTCATCCAATCACAGCAGGGTCTGTGAAAAGCTACAGGACAGAGCAGCTTCAAGTTACAGTGTTTGATTTAAACGAACTTAAGCATCTATCGGCGTATCTGTGAGCTGTTTGTTAAGATTTGCAACTCAGGATGAAAAAATTGTTTTGTGACCTGAAGCAGAGCAGAAAGTGCTGAATGACAGACCACGTCATGTTTTCTTGACAGCAGAAATGAAACACATCTGCACTATTTACTGCACATTAGCAGACTGATGAGCTAAATCTGAACTTAACTGGGCTGGATATAAAAGAAGCTTCTGTAAGCTTTCAGCGCACAGAGCTGCGTTCACTTTAATACCTTTGAACAGATAAATTAGAAGCCACAATCCAAGCGAGTACTCGGCCGCAGTGACCTGTAGACTTCTCAAAGCTGTATTTCAATCCTAAACTAAACGGTGTGATGCAGGCGTGTGATTAAAGAGTAGGATATTTTTAAAATGGGATATAACAAACCAATAAAAAAAGTCATCTGTCACTCAGAAAGCACGTAGAAATATTCCTCCTGGTGGTATTAGGTGAAAGATTAGAAGGAGCATTTATCAGGCAGGTGAATGTGGAGCTAACGGGGGGATGAGGTGGTGGAGAGGAATCCACTCAGCAGAGATGTATGGAGCAGTCGCAGCACCTCCGGCCCCCCGATCTGTCGCCAGCACTTAAATAACCGCTGCCATTAATCATGCGTGCACACACACACACACACACACACACACACACACACACACACACACACACACA